GGTGGCGTAAGACCAAAAACAGGAACCTAAAATGTTGATTAAAATGGAAATGCAAAAATGCACCCAAAGATTAGACAGTTATACGATCAGGGATCAGCCATAAATAGCTGCTTTTTTTGCCGGTTTTTACATTCAAGGTCGAGTTATGGATAGTTTTGAAATTCAAACGACGAGAATATCATGAGACGAAACAAAATGGATCGACTCAAATAACTAGATATGGCTTTGGGTTCGTGGTGTTACGAGAAACGAGCTTCAGGAGACATTTTTTTTTCTGTTTTAGACACCAGGCTAGACTAAATCCTTCCAACGTTAATTCTTTGTCCTTCTAAATCCTTCAAACCTTGCACTGAAAAAAAGAACTTATTTAATGGCCGAGATATGCTTACTGCTCCATGATACGTCAGTGTATCCACCAAATATGGAATCGTTCACTTTGATGATTGTCACTGTGGGTCCCCTTCCATCACAGTTGCTGTGGAAGGTCGATGCCGCCCAGCCGTCTGTCTTAGCGTGCCAACACTTCACAAACCTGCTCCACTCTGAACTCAGGAGGACTGGCTCTAGGTAGGAAAGCAGCTTACCTGTGTAGTTGTTGTAGTCGAGGCTGGTAAGAATAGCGGAATTATTAAGGCCACCTATACGAAAAACCGAAAAAGAGAGAAAAGGTAAGGCTTGCCCTACCTTGAAGTTTTGGCGTCATGTTGCATTCGTCATCTTGTTGGTGGTAATGTCTACAACTTGCTTTTTCGTTTTTACGAATTACAGCGTGACAACCGTTGTGTGACGCACATTGATTTGAGGCACAACTTGCCTTTCCGACCCAGTGAGAACCGGGAGGTGCACTTATGGAAACGTTGTATCCCTTTCAGACGTGTTTACACGATGAAAGCGTGTTTGGGTGACATTCCAGGTTTCTAAACCCAGTACACGTAATGATATCTTATTTGCACTAATCAATGCTTTCTTAGAATTAAAGGAAACTACGAAATAAAAGCGTGATAATAATGAAAAAAGAAGAATTAAGGCTGACCAAGATAGAAAGTTCGACATAGTTGTGAGCAACAGACTTTAAAGATCAATGATAATGTTTCTTTTATGAGGAGGGGTGAGGGGGTTGGGGGGAGGGGGAGGGAGTGGTCAGTTAGGCGCTAAGCGAGACGTATTCTTTAGTTAACCCTTTAACCCCTAGGAAGGATTAACATTTAATTTCTCCTTACCGTATTACAGCCGAACAAAACATCAGGATCATGAGAATAAAGGAAATAATCACTAAGTTATGAAGCTCTTGGTTGCCAAATAAATTCCCCTTGGCAGTACCATACGGTATTTATAGAGAACATTGTGGAGAATGTGTGTACTGATGCTAGGGAGTAAAGGGTCATAATGTAGCCCGTTGTTAGGACGAGTTCCATCTTGGTCCCGATTCAGGAACGACTCATGTTAAAAAATTATATGTATTCGAGAACTAATTTCCAAAATTATAAGCTTCATATGACGATAGAGAAAGGTAGAGAATGCGAAATGCGAGTATCATAACAAACTGAGGTAACTCGTATCTCAAAGTTAGTTAAACTCACGAAAATAGCAGCTTTTTCCGTTTCCTTGGTACCAGGGATTGCAGGTGCATCGATAGGAACCAATGGTATTGTTGCAGTAGGCATTGACGTCACAGTCATGCGATTTATTGGCACATTCGTCGACATCTGAAAGAATGCATAAAAAATAAATGGTTTGAACTCAAGAGGAAGAGTCGATTGAAAATGACGGTTATTGGCGAAAGCATCTCACCGTATGAGCAATTGAACGTGACATGGTGTGGGGTATAATTCCAACCGGTCATTAAATTAAAACAATTTTTTTAATCGAGTGTCTAAATTAAGCCGGGGTTGTTTTGGTTTTTCTTTGTTTTAAAATGAAATTGCTTCAGGCAATAATGAAAGTCATTTCACTAACTTACCGACACACTTTTTTCCGTTTCCAGTAAAACCCGCTTTGCACGAGCAACTGTGAGAACCGATGGTGTTCGCGCACTCGGCGTTGACGTCACACACGGGAATTGTTGAATTACACTCGTCCACGTCTGAGAAATACAAATAGTTTGCGGTCGGTTTAAAAGCAAAAAAAGAGGGAATTCGCTGAATTATTACTCGTTCGTGGATTCATCAGACCAATTGCTTCCAGCGGGAGCCAAAATTTTATTATGTACGACCCATTCAAGAAGCAAAATTTCCCCTTCCCTATTCGTTAAATTTCTTAACTGTAACGGATTGCTATTTAATGATTATCTCTGTGGCAAGAAAGAAAATTTTCAATTCTATTTTACCTGTTCTCAAATCGATCAGTTTAAGAGAGATTATAGCATTCCTTCAAAGCTTTGTTTCCGTCAGATATCTCACTTTTTAAATTTTATTTTGGTTTGCTTTATTCTTTCATTTCCCTCTACGAATAATACGATTTTTTTGGGGGGGGGAGGGACAAGGGGTTGCAGTCTAACCATGACATCTCTATCAACGTTTTTGTTCGTAGTAAACCGATTTTTGTCTGTAGAATATGTGAATTGATAAACACTTGAATTCACCTTCAGTTTTCATGTCACAAGGAGCCAGAGCAGTCTTCTCGGGTACAATCGAGTGAAACCAGTATTTGCCGCTGACTGCTTGTCCTCCTTCGCTCATTTTGATTTCCTTGCAAGTCTCCGCAGGCAGCTCAGGGATGGAACCGAGAGGGACTGGAAGGAAAAAAAGCAGCTATTAGCATAGCACTCTAAGCAAGCAAGACTTGATGTTCGTCTTGGAGGCGAGGACACTCATATTAGGGGCCACTTGACTTAGGGCAAGAACGGAGGTGATGTGAGACAATTCCTTAATTTGGGGTTGAGTTTTTGTGCTCTGAAAATGTCTTTAAAGGGAAGAAGACAGTTAAAAGTGTAAAAACCTCTTTTGTAATCTCGCTTAAAGTAAAATCTCTCAGGGTTC